GGTAAAAACATGAAATGATAACAGCAAAAATTGCAATATGAGCACTGATAAAAAATGATTGCTGAAGACATTAGGTTTATAATACCCAGAAATTCATACACAAGGACACATGGCACAGTGGATAAAGGCGTTGTGACAGGACCCAAAGAATGTGAGTTCAATACCCGGCTAAGGCAGTGGTGAACTTTCAGAGGGAAATTAACAGGAGATAACTGATAACATGTCATCCATTAAACATGGCACGTGGAACTAGAACAGTCTACCCCAGTGAGCGAAATAAAGGGTTCAGTTCGACATTCCAACCACCCGAAGACAACGGCCGAAACATTGTAATAAATATGGCAACAAAGATGAGGGCAATAGTCCAAATAATGTACATAATACCTCATCTCAGAAATATAAACAGATTTCATTATCAACTAAACTAGGATTTCTTAATCTTTCTTTAAGGTCATTTTTATGAGCGAATACAGTTCCTTTGTATGTGCTGTCAAAGCTGGGAGAAAGTAGGCGGGCTATTAATTCGTAAAATAAACCCAGAAATTGTTTTCGCATCTTGTTAAATGAACTAGCTCTGTCAAGTATTCCGCCATATCGAATATTTTGACAACCAATGGCACAGTTTTGATCTAACGTAGCAACCAATCAAAGAAGATCTTAGTTCGCATGCGTAGAAATATAACTTCCTCATAAAGTCTGCATACCCCTTAACGTTCTGTGCAGGGTTAATTTCAGTAAAACTATTTCTATTATAAACGTCATTTTAGTCGATACACGTGTTTGAGAAAAAAAACCCTGTTTTCTTACAAACAGTGAAATTAATGCCCACCGATCTAGACACAGTGTAGTGTAGCGTTACGGGAAGTAGTATGCTCCCAACTGACTCATCCTACATAAATGAGTCACATCATCTCCCTGTACCGAAGAGGTTTTATCTTTTTATTTTTCCTGGTACTTCTGAACTTCTCACTATCCTCCCCACGCTCCCTAAGAGATTGTCTAGATATGGTAGATTTTGATCTTTTTTTTATCATAGAAGTGTTTCTCTAATGATTGTACTTCATCTTCAGACTCGTTATTACTCTCGAGTTCACGGTCTTGGGTGTGCTATTGCTGATAATTTTATAATGGCCTCATAACCAGCAGTTACCGAGAAGAGATCGGTTATCTGTTTTTATTTTTCCTCCAACTGATTTAAAATCGTTTAGCTTTTTCTTTGTTCTAGCTTTAGCTGCAAGTATCATGAGCCACTGTTGTGGGTACTCCTAATTATCAAGTGGTAATTATTCGTTCGGTTCGATAGATATCGGCGACGCCATTGTAGTGTTACTGACTCACGGAAAGTAGTATACACTCAACTGCCTCATGGGTAATAGCTGCAAAAACTTATAATCTTTGTGACTTTATATCTATATAAGTCAGCTCACGCAGAAAGTTTTATTAAAATTATAGAAAATGTGCCCCAAGGCGTGGATTAAACCAGCATTTCCTCATCTCGGAAAACAAACAGGCGTCTCTAAAGCAATCCCAGACTCTTTCAACTTTTAATGAAGAGCGCATTTCTTTTACGGACTTCCTGATGTCTACATCTACTAAATCAAGCAAAATTAATAGTCATAATATTTAGTGTTTTTTAATGTCAGGTCATTCTACAATTACTCCCAGTAGTACCAACTTCATGGTTGAATGATCAGCGACTAAACCAGTTCCCCTATCAGGCATTTTTCGTGAAGAGAGTGGGTAGACACCTAACAGGATTTAAAAAAATGAAAAAATATTTTCAACGGTCTGATGAACCATTTTACCAGGCCAACGCCTATCTAGAACATTAGGTTGAACTTAACCCTATAAGTATGTATGCCACCATTACGGTAATGATACGGCACGTCTGTGAGTCAAAGGATTCCTAGACTGAAGTCAAGAGACAGGACGGAGGATTTTCTGATGGAATTAACAATCGAGTGTCCATGACCGAAGCGAGCATTCATGTTGAAAGACATAGATTGTGGGTTGACCTAGACAGATGGGCCCCGGAAGGCCTACTTAGCGAAGACACGCTATACATGGATGAGTATTTCTCCGGCTTTCAACCTAGATATGAGAAGTGAATTGGTCAGGAGCTTAGCTGCGAAGCGGCCCTACGACCACATCCGTTCATGGGATTGATATTGATATTGATTATATCAAGCTTAAAATACATGATATATGTTAATAAACATATCTTGCCTTGATGTGCGGATACACCTCTGCGAAAATCTGAGACCAGGAACAAGACTTTCGGGCTATTTATTAAATTCTAGGAATTATTACACACACACACACACACACACACACACACACACACACACACACACACACACACATATATATATATATATATATATATATATATGCATGTATGTATGTATATTTAGACCGCATATCTTCATTCAAGCATGTTTAGTTGAATAATCTGGGCCTATTATGTCTATTTATTTTTATTTTGATCCTTTCGAATTCCCTGATCGACTTCTTAATGTTGATATTAAGTTCATTAAAGAAGGCGCCTTCTTAAATCAATTCAATATCAACATTAAGAAGCCTACCAGAGAATTTGGGTGGATTAAAATAAAAATAATTACATAATACGCCCATATTATTCAAACAAACACACACACACACACACACACACACACACATATACATATATATATATAAACATTTTCAGGATATATATATATATATATATATATAAATAAAAATTTCATATTCAAATTTCGATATATAAAAAAACAAAAAGGCAAAATGTCAATATAATTTTAAAGGTAAATTGAATTAAAAAAAACATTGATCCTGTTTCATCCTCAAGCGAAAATTTAAAATCCAAGAATTTATCATACTTCCAATTCTAAATAAAAAATTATTTATTATATATATATATATATATATATATATATATATATATATAAGATAATTTTTGTATCTTAAATTGGAAGTATGATAAATTTTCGCTTCTTGTCCTAAACAGAACTTTCTATATTTAATTCATTCTTTTCAAGGATCAATATTTTTTGGTTTTCAAATTTGCCTCTTGTTTTTGAAACATGAAAACTCTTATGTAGCGAAGGAATCATACTTTTTTTAAATAATTATAATTTAAGCCCTACTTCTGTATGGAGCACTGTTTTTTAAAAAAATAAAAACAAAAATACTAAAGAACTCCGGATTATTTACCTAACGTCTTCTTTCCTATTTTTATATATATTTGTACACACACAAGCACACACACACACACACACACACACACACACATATATATATATATATATATATATGTGTGTGTGTGTGTGTGTTTCGCCCTTTAGGACATCATCGGATTAAATTTGATTAAGCTACACATGTGCACAAACGGGAGATGCTGTGAATTCTAAATTTTCAATTATCTTGCTTTTGTTTCATCTTTTTTTTTAGTGTCGTGATCGCTAGATCATCCACAGTAAACTTCCGCGCAGGGCTCTTACAACTTTTCACCATTATTGATAGATCTTTTATTATCATAGTGTGGGATGTCCAACAACAAACATTATGGAAAAAAATCTAAATACACAAACCACATAAAAGCAAAGACAAAAAATGAAAAATAGTTTAAAATTTCAAATTCCCAGCATGCCTGCTTCTTGCGCTCGAGTAGTCGTACCAACGTAAACAAATTTAGTCCGATCCAGTACAAAAGGAGCGAAACGCGTCACACTAAAACTTTTTTGTACACTTTCTCATACATCTTTCACGCAAAAGTTGTTCTTGATATATCAAAATTTATATAAAGTTAACCTATATATATATATATATATATATATATATATATATATATATATATACATCCACAGACAGACTGTTTTGCTGTATCACAGCTCATCAGTGTGGCTAGACGTCCAGTTGCTTCTAGCTAGGATCGAAACCCAACTGAATTGGAGTCAGTCGGGAGGATTCTACCACTAAGCCGTTGGTGCACTCCAGGGTGAAGGTGAATTTAAGCATATTTATTTGTGACTGAGAGAACTCGATTCGATTTACCGAAGAGTCATGCATTATTAGCCGTAATAGGCACTGTTTACAAACTCACACTTCTTCTCCAGAGAGCACAACCGAAATAAATTTTCAGGAGCATATATATTGCATATTTATACTATTGTTTATTCAATACAAGGCTCAAGAGTCACTCACGGTAGAGGTTTTCTGAATGAAATTATTATAAAGGCGTAAAGAGCGTAAGATATAATGCATATGATAGGAATATTAAAGATAGATAATAGTTGACCCTATACTTCAAGAAGGTAATTAGTAATGTTTGGGATAACATTCTTTGCTCTTCCTTAATTAGTGTGCATAGCACTTGGATGATTATGTGACCCTTAATGGCTACTGAGTGACGCGCCAGTAGGAACGGATAAGTATTTTGCCATGAAGCGATGATGTTTTTCCGTCTTTGGGCGAAAACGCAGATTTCTGCGAGAGATTACATTTTTAAATGTGTCCGCTGAAATGCAAAGTAAAAAGAGAGAACGAGGCAAGAAGTCGCCCAGTATTTATAGTGTAGGGAGAACGACCCCTAGTGATCAATTAGGAAATTAAGGAGGAGCTAACTCCGACATATTTACGTTTTTCTGACTTCTTCCTAACCATTCTTTATTTTTGTTTTTAATGTTTAGGTAAAATGATGTTTCTATGGACATTACTACTGAGGCCGCCTATACGTAAAAAAATTATCTATGCATCAGTAAAAAAACATTTTTAAAATGTGTCGAGATGACACGTGACCAGTTGGGTCACTCACTGCACAAAGTTTATAAAATAATGAAGGTTGTCTTGAGTTAATTTAAATATTTAAATCCATTTGTGTTATTCTTAATTCAAGAAATATTGTTGATTGTAAGCAAAAGAAAGACTGAAATTAAGAATTAACTAACAACCTACAGGATATGTGGCTTAAATAGTTTTTATATTAGGGTTAGAAACTTTTCTCAAACTTTTGAATGCTTCCAGACTTCAAGAAGATTTAAATTAAAAACACTGCCGGCGTTCCTGGGGAATGCATTCGTATGCACACGCTGAAGAAAGAAAGAAAGAAAGAAAGAAAGAAAGAAAGAAAGAATATAAAGTGAAATAAATAAAGAATGAAATATAAAGTGAAATAAAGAATGAAGGAAAGAAAGAAAGAAGGAAAAGAATATAATGTGAAAGAAAGAAAGGAATATAGAGTGAAATAAAAAAGAAAGAAAAACAGAAAGAGTATAGAGTAAAATAAAGAATGCTAATAAAAAGAAAGATTGAAAGAAAAGAATATAGAAAGAAAGAAAGAAAGAAAGAAAGAAAGAAAGAAAGGAATATAGAATTAAATAAAGAAAAATTGAAAAAGAAATATAGAGTGACAGAAAGAAGGGAAGAAAGGAATATAGAAAGGAATATATATTATGTAAGAAAGAAAGAAAGAAAGAAAGAAAGGAATATAGAGTGAAATAAATAAGGAAAAGCAATATAGAGTGAACAAAAGAAAGAAGGGAAGGAAGAAAGAAAACGAATGGAGATTGACAGAAAGAAAGAAAGAAAAGGAATATAGAGTAAAAGAAAGAAAAAAGATAAAAGAAAAAGAAAAGGAATACAGAGTGAAAGAAAGAAAAAAGAAAGAAAGAAAAGGAATATAGAGTGAAAGAAAGGAAAGAAGGAAGGAAGAAAATATAGACAGAAAGAAAGAAAGTGTAGTGTTTTTGAAGAAAAACCTTAAAAAACCGAGAGCCGAGCATTTTTTGTTAAATATTCGCGTGCTTTTTGTCGTTACTACTACGTCCGCGCGATAAGTATAAATTAAGGACAATGTATGAAGTAATCAGTCGGAGTCAGAGTCGAGCTGGGATCTTTCCCAGTTGCGGTAGTCGAGCAGAGAGGAACCCGGACGAGGCTATGCCGAAGGGTAGAGTTTCGTCCGGCGAGGTAGACAGACCCGATCCCGTTTATGCGGGGACTACGGGGATTTTTTGACCGAGCCTACGGGCTCGGGAACCTCACTTTAAATTCGGCCTTGTGCCACATGTGACTGCGTGAGTCAGAGTCGAAGTAGTGTGATTGATCATTAAGAAATCTTCCTATGTTTGTTTTCTTGTCATACGAAAACTGTCCCCATAAGAAGAATATGGACTAAAAAAATAATAAAACACCTCAACGATTTTTGGAATAGAAAAACATTGCATTTACATTCCATTTGCTTTCTTTATTTCCTTTTGTTTTTCTTTGGAGACAAGTTGAATATTTTTGCAAGTCCAAATTTTCTTCCCCTTAACTTTCCACAAAAGAAAGAAAGCAAAAAGAAAGGAAAAGAAGTCAATGGCTCAATTCTAAAGGAAACAAAACAATTATTCGTTCATTTTTAAAATAAAATACAAACAAAAGAACAGATTAAATTGCGTCAGGAAATGATGAAAAAAAGAAAATGCTGTGTCATTGTTTATTATCGTTTTCGGATTTTTACCAGCTTAATGACATTGTTTATCTTACATCTTTGTTTTTTTATATATATATTTTGTATCTCTACGGACAATGTCGGTCATGTACGATTTATACCACAGCGAAAACAAACATATTTGTCATGTCGTAATTTTTTTTGTTGAAACATTGCAAAACTGTAACGAAAAGAGTATGGAAAAAGAAGCCGGAAAGACCACCACAGCATGAAAGAGATTCGACGTCAAATCGTAAAAGATGGAAGTAATGGTGAAAAAAAAAACAACAAAAAAAAAAACAGTTAATAAAAAATGTGACAAGCTATCTAAACGATAGGCGAATACAAATAAAAACGGCATTCCAAAGAGGAGGAAGAGAATACTGGAAAGCGAAAAAAAAAAAAAGAGATGGAAAGGAAGATTTTTCTTCCATCCAAATTGAAACTCTTTTTTTCCTTCATAATTCCTTTGAATCTTTTTTCTCTCCATTGTATGCTTTTATCGTACCTTAGTTTCCCTGTGTCACTCGAACCGCCCAAGCTGTCGTCTGTTTCTTTCCATTTGTAGTTTTCACTCGTTTTCGCCGTAAAGCTAAAAAAATATGATCTTTCCAGTCATTCGTTCCCGTTTTTCAAAAATAGAGACCTTCCTTCGCTGAAAAGATGAAATTTAGGCATTATTTTTACATTTGATCATTCGGCATTTTTCCTAAAATCTTTTTTGAACTGCAATTTTTTTTTTGTGTAGGTGATCCGGACGTAAATAATCGCTTAAAGCAGTATTTATGCCCGATGGAAAGACATTAATTCAATTCTCCGCGCTCTGTTCTATCGCTACTCATCTTAACTTTATGTAGGAGAGAAATAAGATCAGCTTGTTTTTCTATGTTTAATCTAGTCTTTCAGGTAGCCATTGTCGGATTCAACAGGGGAGACCATTCATTATTCGGACTGTTATCTTCATCTTCATTGCCATATTCACAACGTTTCGGCTGTTGTACGCCCCGGCCTTCTTCAGATGATTGGAATTTTGAACCGAACCTTTTATTTTGTCCAACGGAGTAGATTGTTCTAGTTTCACGTGCTTTGACTCTTCCAGACGTCTCAGTTATTTCCCTTTAACTGAACTCTCCCAGTTTTTGTTCACTACTGCTGTAGCCTGGTATTGAATTAACAACTCTTTGGGTCTAGTCACTGGATCTAACCAAGGCCTTTATCGGTGGACGAAATAAAGGGTTCTGTTTGAAATTCCAATCCCGTGAAGAATGCCGGAGCGTACAACGACCGAAACGGTGTGAATATGGCAATGAAGATAACAGTCCGAATAATGAAAATAATTTAAGTAATCATAATACGTCATCTCAGAGATATAGACAGATAGAAAAAGTTTTCTTTTATAATTAAACTAAAACTTTTTCGATCTTATTTTTATTTCTTTATTCAAACTAAATCTGATACGAAGTTACATTTCTGAATCACTGTTTTTCTCATATCACTCGAGATGACATATCTTGAGATGCCTGGGGACTATGGTGGGTGTTTTATTTTAATTGGGCGTCCGTCAGTCTCGGAGTTTGTGAAGCTGCTAAAGTGGCTCGCTAGTATCTATTACAGGTTCATTTATGATTTATGTTGCAACTATGCTAAACGGAAACGATGACCGACTTATTTGAACAAGGACTGAGCTGAGAATTTTGTGCTATCACGGTTTCCCAGCAGTCTTGCCAACCCAATTTCACTCACAAGGCTTGGATCGAACCGTGGGATAGTTTGGATTTCATGCATTTTCCGACAGTGCCACCCCATTTCTAAATCGACCAAGGTGAGATTCGAACCCTGATCACATGAGCAGAACGCTAACGTTCCAACCGCACAGCCACGTTTCTCTCTCTCTCTCTCTCTCTCTCTCTCTCTATATATATATATATATATATATATATATATATATATATATATATATATATATATATATATTATAAGCATTTCATCCCAAGCAAGGCGGGATGCCACTAGCACGCGAAGGGTTACAGAGAGTGGGAGCGAGAGTAAAGAGGCGTGATAGAGGAAAGGATGAAGAGAAAGACAGGGAATAGATCAAGGTTTCTGGAGATGTCGATTGACATTGCATTTGAATAGTTGGAGATTATAGCTATCAGGGAAACAAGTAATAGCAAGGGAATTCCACAGACGGGAGGTGCGAGACATGAAGCTATTGAAGTAGGAGAGACGGCCACATTTAACTGTTTCGACAGTGAAAGGATGGGACCGAGATGCCAGCCTAGTAGCACGTCTAAATTCATGCAGTCTGGAAACTAGCGAAAATAGCTCGTCGGATCAGTTACCGTGAAAGTATTTGCAGAAGAGAGAGATGGAGGCGACGGCGTGTCTGTGAGAGAGCGACTGTAGACGAGATGCCAGATCAGGGCCAATCACATTGCATATCCTTATTTCTGTTCTCAATAATAAATCCATTCTCATATTTCATTTACGTTATTTGTGATGAGAATATACATGTGTTTTACTTGTACCGAGGAATAAATTACACACTTCGGTAACAATTCCGCTATGTTTAGTCGTTTTATTTAACTTAATTTATTCTACTGTTACTGCGCATCACAGTGTTATTTATTATTTAAGAACTTCTATTTAAAATACTGTTAACGAAAGAAAACGAGATATGAATTTCCTTGCAGCTAATTTATTACATCTAAAAAAGAAAAATTTAGTGACCTTTCGAAATTAGTTCTACTTCACCTCGAGATATTATGAACATTTTAAGGTGGTCGTTGTTAAAATTAGCTTCTTTTAAAAAATAAAAATTATTGTCTTACCAAATTTTGTGTTTGATATTTTTTAAACTTTAGGAGACTGTCAGAATTAACCTTTCGTACCTGCACATATATATTTACGAGTAAACTTTCATTTTTCAATCATCAAGTTGTAGGTGCCGAGATATAGCTGTTGTTCGTAAAGGTGAAAGTTAACTAGTTAGCAATTTTTAATCTGATTTTTTTTTAATTACTTCAAACGTTATTATTGTGGATACTCTGTATTTATCTTGACTAATAATGCGCAGTTTAATTGACGTAATACACACTGTTTAATAAATAAAAATGGTGCATTTATTTCAAACACAGTCTAGCCACTATAATAACGTTTGAAATAATAACAATAGTAATAATAAAAATAATATATATGTGTGTGTGTGTGTGTGTGTGTGTGTGTGTGTGTGTGTGTGTGTGACTTCATGCGGACTGTTGTCCTCGTTATTTGCTGTTATCACGACGTTTCGACCGTTGTGTCCTTGGGCTTTCATCAGGTATACGTCATTCAAGGTAACCTACAGGCAATTTCGTACTGAACCCTTTATTTAATCTACGGGAATAGACTGTTCTTCTCGTTCCGCTATGTCTTGGGGTATCTTGTCTAGTTCTTATTTAGTACTTCTCAGCTATTGCTCACGTCGTTTCTCCCCGTGTAAATAAGAATAACACATCATTCTAGAGATTCAGAGAGAAAATATCTAAACTTATTAGTAAAAGAAAAAAGCTTAAAACAGGAAAGTTTAAAACTGTAAAAAACAACAACAATAAAATGAAATAAAGAACTAGTGCTTAACAGCAAAAGACCAAGTTTTCATAGAACAATAAAATGAGGTTTTAAAAGTGTTATGGTCCGGATCCTTGTACCACGGTGATAGTCCAAGGTTGAACCAATAAAGAAGGACTCGAATACGGATATGGAATAACACAGATATATTACAAACAGGAATATATACAGAGAAGTAGAAAGTGTTAGTACGAACAATCAGGTTTAGTAGTAATTGTCTGTAAGTAATCGACTGACGGACTTCACTCCAGACTTCAGACTGACCTCTCTGCTTCCTCTTGAGGCGCAGTATTTATTACGTATGGAATAGTCCATTATGTTATTATGGGTAAGGTCCCATAACAAAAAGGATAAAGGATTTCAGTCTAGTACGACTCCGAGTTTAATGCTCTTGTGATTCGACGTCGTAGGTTGAGGCACTTTGTCCTGTTAAAACGCTATTTAATTTTTTTAGATAGATAGATAGTAACATAGATAGATAGGAACATACATAGATAGATAGATAGTAACAGACATAGATAGATAGATAGATAGATAAAAGCAGACATAGATAGATAGATAGATAGATAGATAGATAGATAGATAGATAGATAGATATGCATTATGTTCAATGTCGTAATAAAAAAAACTTATATCCACAATTTTGATCCGAATGTGCAATGACTGATTCGAAAATTGAAAAATCCAGTAAAAAATTAGACAGACCTTGTCGGCTGAATTTAATGTAATTTACAAGGTGTCGATAGAGTCTTCTTAGAATTTAAAGAAAACATTACAAAAGCAAATGAACAGACAAATATGTGGAAATTGCTACAAAATGTGTAGCTACTGAAGGTTTTTTTTAACTAATTAAAAAGACATCGACATTGGCAAATAAAGGGTTCAGTTCGACATTCCAACCGCCGGAGCGTAGAACGGCCGAAACTTTGTAATAAATATGGCGACAAAGATGAGGACAATAGTCCAAATAATGTAAATCATGTACATAATACCTCATCTCGGAAATATAGACAGATATCTTACAGACAAAGTAAAACTGGCTGCTATTCTGGAAAATGACTCACAGTCAGTTGTTAATTGGGGCAAAAAATGGTTTAAATTTTAACGCCTCCAAAACAAAAATCGCGATCTTTTAATTCTTAATCATTATAGGGAACTTTTTTTGTCCTCTATCAATATGGCTGACGCTAACCTCCAGAAGAGCAACTCATTGTGCCTTGTGGGTTTCACATTTTCTTCTGACATGAAGTAGAGTAATTATATTGAATCAATTACGTGGTCTGCTGCTAGGAAAGTTGGTTGAATGTGTCGTGTCAGATGCAGTGATTATTGTTGCCATATCTGGTCTGGTCTTGCTTCTATATATATTGAGATTCTCGACAAAATCCAAAAAAGGATCTGTAAGGTAATCGATTCTGACCTGGAATCTCGACTTCAGTCACTTTCCCACCGCCGCAAAATGGATTCGCATTGTCTTTTCTCTAAATATTTTCATGGCAATTCTTCTAATGAGCTCTCCTCCTTGGTACCTCAACTGTGTGAAATGAAGCATACTACTAGATTGGTAATCAGGTCTCTTCGTTCTGCAGTTAAAATAGCGAGATGCAACCGTAATTTCTATTCTAATAGTTTCTTCTCTCACATTTCTCGCCTTCACTTCCGTTTTTTTATTACCTACCACCAACGATCTTCTAAAATTTAAATGCAACATCAATCGCTATATTCTGTCTTTCTGAAACCTGTTCTTTTATAGTCCTTTCTCTTCACTAAAGTCTTCTCGTTCTCTTTACACAAGCGCTAACCCCTGGCGTCTTAGTAGCTTTATAGCCTTGCTTGGGGTAAAATGATAAAGAAAAAAAGAAAGATATATGTCCATACCCGACCTAAAAATGACTGGTGCAAGAAAAGTGAAGAAGTAACACGAGATAAATGGATGCTTTTTTTCTACCACCCTAACAAGCGGACTGAAAATGACTTAAAAAATAGATTAGTGTCTTTAATCAACAAACTAATTTTATATACAATTTTTGCAACTCTTTTTAATAAGCTGTTCATAAAGAGATACGCTTATGCAAGTGTGTGAATCATTTGTTCAGTCCTAATGTTTGTGTTAAGAATTGTCTTTGGTTTGCGTCCTTCAATAATTAGTATGAAATAAATACTTGAATGAAACTTGAATAGACTTTGTTGAAAAAGTGTGACAAAATGTCCGTCTCTGTGTGACGTAGGTCGATTAGAAGCGTCTTTTTATAGGTCGTGAGTGGATCTATTCTTGGTGTTTTCAAGTAATTCTTATTTTGATTTTTTTGTTAACACGACCGGAACTAATATGCTGAATTTATGCGCAGACGACACATTTATATAACTCTTTCATTGCTGCGGAAGCGTATACTTCCGGCTAGATTGTCTGGCGATGTCTACATTTCCAGCACTTGAAGAGACTATGAAGAACACACTCATTGGTTTTTACATTAAACACGAAGAGAACACGTTTAGTTTTTTCTTTATTAATAACCCTTTAAAGATATTGTGCGGATCTATTACGCACGAACATACATACAAAAATACAAATCACATTTACAATGCCAAGCATTTATTGGTTAATAAATCACTACCACATTACTACAGGCAATTTACAAATCGCAGTAATGCGACAATTTTGTAATCGCTCTATTTTTAAGTAGTCAATTTTGTGCACTTTTGGGAGAAGCGGATCACAGAAGCTTTCTTATGTCTTCCCAAAGCTCGCTCGCTGATTGGTCGATGCCAACCAATCAGATCGTTTGCACGTGAAGAATAATTTTTCCCGCGCAACGATTTGGAGCCTATAGTCTCTTATTTAAGCCAAGATTTTTCTTAGCCCAATTAGTGAGCATTCAACAGCCAAACGAATCAACGACAGTTGAAACCATACGCCAACTTTCTCACTCACACACATCACTCACATGCTGAACATAACTTGTACACACTCACATAAACTCTTCTTACACTGTAATATCTTTCAAGAACAATCATTGCAAGAGACTCTCATGAACATTCTTCCAGTGAACTTTGAACTAAATGACTATTTCGCATTGAACACTAAAATAACAGTTAAAGAGAGACAACTCTTGGTTAATTCAACCTTTTCTTACTTAAATGCATGCTTTCCTTCACATTGTTGTTTGATATTGTACATTTTGTTTAAATACATATTTAATGTGTAACAATGCCTTTTGGTTATCCATTTTTGCTTGAGCCATGTTTCCTAATCTAAAGTTAAATTAATGTAGTGAAGTCCGCCACAATATTACGGCTTTGGATCGTAAAAGATTCACATTTATAAACAAATTCTTATTGTGTATACTTTAGGTAGTTTCAATAACACGGGACATTTTCTTGAAACATTTTCTTTAGAACATTGGTGATCATGGCTCTCCACAATTTCCTATCCCTTGAAGCTCTTAATATTTTTTCTTTTTGTTATCTCGCCTAATCCCTGTCTTGCCACCCATTTATTCAAGCTTTCCCTATAGATTATGCGTTGTTTTCCTCTGCTTCTCTTGCTTTGATCTGTCCTGTGAGTATCAAATTTTTGAAGCCCTCTTTTCTCATTATTTGCCCTAGAAATTTCCACCGTCTCTTTCTGATGTTAAGCATAAGTGGGAAATTTGTTTCCATTTTCTTTAAAACTTTGCCATTGTTCACATGTTCGGTCCATCGTATTCTCAACATCCTTCTGTAGAACCACATTTCTGTTGCTGCCGAGTCTCTTCTTTATGTGTGAGGAGATTGTCCAGTATTAACTGTCATACAGGAGGACTGATATTGCATAACTGACTAGTACTCTTTTCTTTGTTTCTAACGGAAGTTTCCTGTTTCTTAATACTTTATCTTATCTTTTAGAAGGTATCTACAAATGGAAAATAAATTGTGCATATACACTGTTGTAACCTATAAAAAGGAATGAGGAATAACCAAAACGGAGTTTGGAAATGAAATGGTAATCTTTATAACATCAACAAAATACAATACTCGTGTAGGTAAACCACTGCTAGTGGTGGATTACTTAAACATCACACCCACTTAAAATAGTGTATAACGTATTTATGAGAATTGGGACATACCCATTAGTGTTTGTAGGTACGGTATATAGTAGTTATTTAATGCCGATAAGATTTTTACTGCTGGTAATGTTTTGTCCTTCAAAAATGTATTTCTAGTAATATTTTTTTCCTTCAAAAACGTATTGCTGGTAATATTTTTTTCGGCAAAAATGTATTACTCGTAATAATTTTTCCTTCAAAAATTCATTGCTGGTAATAATTTTTACAAAAATGAATTGCCGGTACTAAAACCTATTTTTAAACTTTCATGGGGCTTCCACCGTATCTCTGGGTCAACCATTTTGCCCATAGCAACAGGTGTAGTGGGTGTAAAATATGCATCTTTCACGGGATTTATTTAACCTTTACAACGAGGCGATCCTAAGAGTACGAAAAATCTCTCAAGGATTTATTATTGGGAACTAAAATCTTAACAAAATAAAATACACAGATCACACTGTGTTGATGACAGACACAGAAAGGAAAATGCAGGACCTCCGAGACAAGTTAATAAACGAAAGCGGGAAGAAAGGACTAACCATTAATTGTTAGGAGACAGAATGTATTGGTGTTTTATCTGTTTATTCCTTTTCTCATACTCGTCGTCACTTTTGTGATGTTGGACGGATTCATATGTCACTTTTGCTATGTCAAACGAAAGCTCGTTACCACTTCCAAAAATATCATATTCGAGACTTCATAGACGCTGGTACTAGTAGTAACGTCTTCCAATAATATTCACACTAGTAATACTTGTTCAAGTAGTAATCGTCAAATAGTATAATGAGTAGAAGAGAATCATAATCCGTATAGTAGTAGAGTAGCGAGAATGAACGTATAGGAATAGTAGATAGACAAGAAGAGAGAACCGTGATCCGTATAGTCATCATGCAACTTCCTGTTTATTCACTTCCTTTATGATCACGTGATCTACTTAATAATGGAATCTCCCCTGTTGCTCACTGGCGATCTAAGTTCAAGCTACAGGGTCGGCGACAACACTTACTCTTATACAACAGTTTTATTGTTGTACAATTGCTTTTCATGCGGAAAATACTGCTTCCCAAAACTTCTAATTATTTATGTTTAGTAAAACGACTTACCAAGTTGTTACCCAAGACCTAGGATGAAGTAAGGTGGTAAAGATTTACTTTTTTTTTTTTTTGCACAAGTGATACTAAACAGGTGCAATGTTTAAATTTTCTTTATATTAATAATACTGTCCAGAGTGGATGATCAGCTCAACGTAGAACAATTTTTAAATCTTACTTATTATAAAACGCAGATTGTGTGTGTGTGTGTGTGTGTGTGTGTGTGTGTGTTGTGTGTTGTGTGTGTGTGTGTGTTTTATATATTGTATCATTTTCCTACATTTTCAAACAAAAACTTCACAGGACTGCGTAAAATTAGCTTGCGGTGGTTGTGACACAATTGTTTTTGAACGAAATCAGTTTGAAAACACGATAAAACACGATTCTGTCGCCAGAATGAAAGGAGGACAACTCATATCGAGTTATACTTATTATAAAACCCAGGTTGTTTGTGTTTGTGTGTGTGTTCGTTTATATATGGGATCGGATTTCCTACATTTTTCAACCGATTTCAACAAAACTTCACTTTTTTTGGCAGGTAGTGTTTCTTATTGTCTTGCACACTTTTTTCTTTATTTTTACATTCAGAATGCTTTAAAAATTCCATTTACAAGACAATTGTTTATAATAAAATTCTATTCAATCGATAGACTCATAACAATTGAAAACAATGTTTTTGTTTGAGTTTGGGTTTGACCAATTCGTAAAAAAAAACAAAAAAAAGCCCCCCAAAAAAAACTAATTAAGACATGCGTGTCCGTCAACCTTAAACAATAATCTTTGTCAATTTTATTTTTCAGTCTTTATGATGGTCGATACTTGATCTATCTCTTACTGTTACATTCCCGGGCAACGCCGGGCTCTCCTGCTAGTCTCTTATAAACAGACGCTGCAAGTTAGTACATATATAATGTAGGTTTCGGTAAATATAATGTAGGTTTCGGTAAATCCTGTAAATAATCTAACAAATGAATAGTTTTTGGGATGTTGGGCGGCTTCGCTTGTCACTATTGCTATGTCAGGTGAAAGCGCGTTATCACTTTCAAAAATGCTTGTTATATTCGAGACTTCGTAGACGCAGCTACTAGTAGTAATGCCTTCCAATAATATCCCCACTAGTAATACTTGTTCAAGTAGTAATTGCCAAATAGTATAATGAGCAGAAGAGAATCATAATCCGTATAGCAGGAGAGTAGAGAGAGTGAACTTATAGCAATAGTGGATAGACAAGAAGAGTAATTGTATAGTCATCATGCTACTTCCTATTTATTCACTTCCTTTATGATCACATGATCTACATAATAATGGTTTCAAACCAGAGTGTCGGCAACGTCAATTACTCTTATACAACGTGGTGCCAGCCTAACTTTCTTTTTATGTGCCGTGTTCTTTCAGAACGTAGGCGATCATGGCTCTCCACTTCCCCCATTCCTTGTAGCTCTCAATAAGTTTCGTCCCACTGCTACCTCCCCCAGACCACGTTCTGTCATCCACTTGCTTAAGCCCGCCAGGTATGTCACGCGTTTCTTTCCCTTGTCTCCTTTTCCTTCTATTCGACCTGTGGGTATCATATTCTCCAGGCCCTTCTTTCTCATTACGTGTCCCAGAAACTTCAGCTGCCTCTTCCTGATCTTAAGTATAAGCCTCCTCCTTGTTTACATCCTCCCCTGGACTTAATCGTTGCTCACACGCTCGGTCCATGATATCCTCAGCATCCTTCTACAGAACCACATCTCCGTCGCCTCGAGTCTCTTCATCTGTCCAACATTGTCCAAGACTGTCCAACATTCGCTGCCGTAAAAGAGGGCAGATATCACGTAACAGCTCAGTACTCTTTTGTTTGTTACCAAAGAAATCCTCCTGTCTCGTAATACTCTGCCCAACTTTTGGAATGTGCCCTTAGTCATCCCAATACGTCTACGGATCTCAGTGTCGCACTTGCCGACCTCTGTTAAAACACATCCCAGGTATTTAAACTTCCGCACGTTAGCCTAACTACGAATTCAAAATATCAAAATCTAGCAGGTTCAGAAATTCATCTCTCTGGAAAATATTTGAACAGATGAAGAAAAACGTGACATTGAAGTCCGAAAGCGGATTGAAATAGTGAAAGATGCCTTCTAAAAGTTAAACAAAGTATTAGGCAACAGGAAAACACCGTTAGAAACAAATAAAAGAGTGGTGAACTACTATGCAATATCAACCCTCCTATATGGAAGTGAATGCTGGGCAAATTCCTGACAGATGAAGAGGATACTTGAGGCAATAGAAATGGGGATCTATAGAAATATACTGATAACACAGTGGGTGGAATCTGTGATTGATTCGTTTTCTACGGTTCATCAATCCTTTACATGTTATTTAAAGCCAGAAAAAATTTTAGCTTGTAAGAATTTGGTGGGGGAAATAATAATGATTTAGTGATATAATCTTACTGATTAACCCATAGCAGGGGGAGCAAGATGTGGATACATACCTTTCCCAATGTTACTTTCACGTAATTGAATATACCGAACCCAACAGGAATTGAAACTCAGCTCTCTGATTAAAATTCTGATCCATTATCCATTACACCACCTGCACATCCAAGCTTACAGCACCTGGTATTACCAAGCAATCATAAATCTAGGTGCTGACCAGGCACGGTGTTGCTTAACTTCGGTGATCGTACAGGAAACGATGTTTCATCGTGATATGGCCGTAAGCCTGGAATATGTGAGCAACGGGAAAGTTTTAAGGAAAATAGCAACAAAATGGATACTTTTGCTTGGAGATAGATTAAATTTCTCGAACAATGAGGAAAGACAGCTTGGAGAATTTGACACACACCTGGCATACTGAATGCAAAATAAGCAGAGCGAAACACCGAGTAACTTATCTAACGAGATTTTATAAATGGATGAACTGGGAGTAATAGAGGACAAACTTTGCTTAAAGGTAAGAAGTATAGGAAAACTATGGAGAGCCATGATCTCCCACGTCCTGAAGGGGCACGGTGCATAAAAGAAAAACATTTTATGACTACGGGGATAGACCTAATAAAATAATTTTCCTTCTTTCACACTAAAGGAGAAAACGAGACTAACTCAACAATTGATACCGCGATATTTTAGTCTTTTTTTCATGGTATTGTTCACGGAGTAAGGGGCTCAAGAGCCACTGAAGGTAGAGAGTTACTGAATGAAGGTTTTTAAGAGTGTAATGGAAGGAAAAGGCATATTATTGAGAAATATAGGATAGACAAAGGTTTACCCAAGACTAGAAGAGTCTATGTTTCTAATGATGTGGAAAGCATCCTGGCGGAAGTAACAGGCCTGGGGTAGAAGGTGTCTAAGTGAAGCTTCCACCTCAACAATTGCATACAAAGTGAATGTGGATGAGTCGACCTGTGTGTGGGACATGGCGGATCTTTGTTTTCTAGGAGATTAACTAAGGAATGATGCGAGTTTACTATGAAAATAGCGAGAGGGTAAAATCGTTTCGTTGGGGATATATCAGCATAAATTTATATGGGTGATTTGGGACTTATAAACAATAGCGAAAATTATATGTTTGATTGACTCAATGATTTATAAGCATATATTTAGATGGGTGATTAGGGATTTATAAACAATAGCGATAATTATTTGGGTGAGTGACTCGATGATTTATGAACAAATATTTATATGGGTGATTCGGGATTTATAAAAAATAGCGATAATTACATGAAAGATCGGGGATGATTTATAAGCAAATATACATATGGGTGATTTGGGATTTATAAATATTATCAATAATTATATGGTTGATTGACTTGATGACTTATAAGGAAGTATTTATATGGCTAATTCGAGATTTATAAACAATAGCAATAATTATATGGATGATTGACTCCATGATTTATAAGCAAATATTTATGGGTGTGATTTGGGATTTATAAACAATAGCGATAATTACATGGGTGATTGACTCGATGATTTATAAGCAAATATTTATGTGGGTGATTTGAGATTTATAAACAATAGCAATAATTATATGGTTGATTGACTTGATGATTTATAAGCAAGTATTTATATGGGTGATTCGATATTTATAAACAATAGCAATAATTATATGGATGATTGACTCCATGATTTATAAGCAAATATTTATGGGGGTGATTAGAAGGGTGATTAGGGATTTATAAACAATAGCGATAATTATATGTGTGATTGACTCGATGAATTATGAGCAAATATTTATATGGGTGATTCGGGATTTATAAAAAATAGCGATAATTATATGTGTGATTGATTAGATGATTTATAAGCAAGTATTTAGATGGGTGATTTGAAGTTTATAAACAATAAAAATAATTATATGGTTGGTTGACTTGATGATTTAAAAGCAACTATTCATATGGGTGATTTGGGAGTGATAAACAATAACAGTAATTATATGGTTGATTGACTGGATGATTTATAAGCAACTATTTATATGGGTGTTTCGTGATTTATAAACAATAGCGATAATTACATAGGTGATTGACTCGATGATTTATAAGTAAGTATTTATATGGGTGATTCGGCATTTATAAACAATAACGATAATTACATGGGTGATTGACTTTATATATTTATATGGCTGATCTGGTATTTATAAACAATAACAATAATTTTATGGCTGATTGACTCCATAATTTATAAGGTTTATATGGGTGATTCGGGATTTATAAACAATAGCAATAATTATATGGATGATTGACTCCATGATTTATAAGCAAATATTTATGGGGGTGATTTGTGATTTATAAACAATTGCGATAATTATATGGGTGATTGACTGATGATTTATAAACAAAAATAAAATATTCGAGATTTATAAATGGTATGGAAGATTGATTTATAAGCAAATATTTATATGTGATTTGGGATTTATAAACAATAACAAAATTATATGGTTGATTGACTTGATGATTTATAAAAGTATTTATATGGGTGATTTAAAATTTACAAACAAGAGCAATAATTATGTTTGATTGGTTGATTATTTATAAGCAACTATTTATATGGGATTCGGAATTTATAAACAAGATTTATAAACTTGATGATTTATAAGCAAATATTTATATGGGTGATTTGGGATTTAAAAACAATAGTGATAATTACATTACTGATTACCGATAATTACATTACCGTTACATAAGATCGGCGATGGTTTATAAGCAAATATTTATATGGGTGATTTGATTTAAAAACAATAATGAAAATTATGTGTGATTGAAGGGGTGATTTGTGCAATAATTATATGGCTGATTGATGATTTATAAGCAAGTATTTATATAGGTGATTCAGAATTTATAAACAATAGCGATAATTAAATGATCGGCGATGATTTAAAATATTTATATGAGTGATTTGGGATTTAAAAACAATAGTGATAATTACATGGAAGATCGGTGATGAATTATAAGAAATATTTAAAAGTGATTTATAAACAATAATGATAATTATATGTGATTGAATGATGCTTTATAAGGAAATATTAATATGGCTGATTTAGGATGCATAAACAATAATGATAATTATAGGGTTGATTGACTGATTTTAAGAAATATTTATATGATTTTCATAAACAATAGCAATAATTATAGGGTTGATTGACTGGATTTTTAAGCAAATATTTATATGGTGATTAGGGATTTATAAACAAAGCAATAATTATATGGTTGATTGACTTGATGAATTATTTATATGGGTGATTCTATATTTATAAAACAATAGCAATAATTATATGGATGATTGACTCCATGATTTATAAGCAAATATTTATATTAGGGTGATTAGGATTTATAAACAATAATAATTATATGTGTGATTGACGATGAATTATGAGCAAATATTTATATGGGTGATTCGGGATTTATAAAAATAGCGATAATTATATGTGATTGATTAGATGATTTATAAGGCGTTTATATGGGTGATTTGATATAAACAATAAAATAATTATATGGTTGGTTGACTATTTAAAAGCAACTATTCATATGGGTGATTTGGGAGTGATAAACAATAACAGTAATTATATGGTTGATTGACTGGATGATTTATAAACATAACAATAGCGATAATTACATAGGTGATTGACTCGATGATTTATAAGTAAGTATTTATATGGGTGATTCGGCATTTATAAACAATAACGATAATTACATGGGTGATTGTCTTGTTGATTTATAAGCAAATATTTATATGGCTGATCTGGTATTTATAAACAATAACAATTTTTATGGCTGATTGATTTTATAAGCAACTATTTATATGGGTGATTTTTATAAACAATAGCAATAATTATATGGATGATTGACTCATGATTTATTATTTATGGGGTGATTTGGGATTTATAAACAATTGCGATAATTATATGGGTGATTGACTCGATGATTTATAAGCAAATATTGAAATGCGTGATTCGAGATTTATAAATAATAGCTATATTACATGGAAGATCGGCGATGATTTATAAGCAAATATTTATATGTGTGATTTGGGATTTATAAACAATAACAAAAATTATATGGTTGATTGACTTGATGATTTATAAGCAAGTATTTATATGGGTGATTCGAAATTTACAAACAAGAGCAATAATTATGTTTGATTGACTTGATTATTTATAAGCAACTATTTATATGGGTGATTCGGAATTTATAAACAAGAGCAATAATTATATGGGTAATTGACTTGATGATTTATAAGCAAATATTTATATGGGTGATTTGGGATTTAAAAACAATAGTGATAATTACATTACCGATTACCGATAATTACATTACCGATTACATAAGATCGGCGATGGTTTATAAGCAAATATTTATATGGGTGATTTGAGATTTAAAAACAATAATGAAAATTATGTGTGATTGAAGTATTTATATGGGTGATTCGGGATTTACAAACATGTGCAATAATTATATGGCTGATTGACTTGATGATTTATAAGCAAGTATTTATATAGGTGATTCAGAATTTATAAACAATAGCGATAATTACATGGATGATCGGCGATGATTTATAAGCAAATATTTATATGAGTGATTTGGGATTTAAAAACAATAGTGATAATTACATGGAAGATCGGTGATGAATTATAAGCAAATATTTATATGGGTGATTTGTGATTTATAAACAATAATGATAATTATATGTGTGATTGAATCGATGCTTTATAAGGAAATATTAATATGGCTGATTTAGGATGCATAAACAATAATGATAATTATAGGGTTGATTGACTCGATGATTTTTAAGCAAATATTTATATGGGTGATTAGGGATTCATGAACAATAGCGATAATTATAGGGTTGATTGACTCGATGATTTTTAAGCAAATATTTATATGGGTGATTAGGGATTTATAAACAATAGCAATAATTATATGGTTGATTGACTTGATGATTTATAAGCAAGTATTTATATGGGTGATTCTATATTTATAAACAATAGCAATAATTATATGGATGATTGACTCCATGATTTATAAGCAAATATTTATATGATTAGAAGGTGATTAGGGATTTATAAACAATAGCGATAATTATATGTGTGATTGACTCGATGAATTATGAGCAAATATTTATATGGGTGATTCGGGATTTATAAAAAATAGCGATAATTATATGTGTGATTGATTAGATGATTTATAAGCAAGTATTTATATGGGTGATTCGGCATTTATAAACAATA